ATGCACAGTCATTTAAAACAAAGTTGACATTCTTGAAATAACACTTTTTACAGAAGTGGCTGCATCCAAAACGACCTTGAAAAGACACAGCAATTACTACCACACATGCAAGATAAATTATCACCAAAGCTAAGGTTTGACTTCCTGAGATACAGCAGCCAGACTGGAACATTAGGAACTGGCATGAGTTCTGAGATAAGATGGTAGAGTCAATAAGACAAATGTGTAAATAAAATGCTCCATTTGTTGGGGTGAAAGCTGCATTTTGATTGTGAGAAATCAAATTTTGCATTTCAGGGAAATACACATTATGTCCACTCACAAATGTGGAAGCTGGTTTCAAACATGAGGAGTATCAGGAACATGTACTGCATTAAAAACTCATAATTAATTATTGTTCAAAATGAGCTGTTGGTGTTGGCTTAGCCTGTGAGAAGCTCAGAGTGGCACAGTCTCGTAGCTGTGCTTGTACCATGACAAGGGCCTGGTTAAAATAGAAGCCCAAATAACCAAAGTCATTATACACTCACATAGATATATGCAGTTTATGCAGACATTACTGCCAAAAAAAGTTATTCTTCCATAAAGCCAAGGACTGGATCTTGCTGCCCCCAAAATGAGAATTTTACTCTAATCACATAAAAAGAACAACTTCATAAACACAGGAAGAAAGGGAGAAATGAAGCTTCCTGTGGGAAGGAAGTCCATTTAAAGAAAGAATAAACTGATGCAGTCAGGATTAAAAAAAACCCCAAAACTTGTATATGCAAATAGACATTTATTACCCATTTTTGTGCTCCTAAAAATGTAATTTACTGACCTTTGAGAGATGGGTCAAATAGGCCCATAGAATAAGAAACAAAAGCATCTTTTTGGCAACTACCATGTTCCAGAGCAATAATTATCCTTTCCTCTCTCCGTGAGCAGCAGGAAATGAAGAGGGATGCCATTACACCATGACAATTACTGTAATTTTAATTTCTAAATATTGCTAAAAGAAAAAAATTGCTAAAAAGAAAAAAAAAAAAAAGTCTGTTCAGATTTTTTAGATAAAAACTCATTCCCCAGCTGACACAGAGCTGTGCTTCCCCTCCTTGCAGTCCCTTGGGGGAATGAACCACCCACAAAGTCTGCAGGGTGAGAAAAACCCACTTTTCTCCCCATTAGTGGAAAAGAGAGAATTGTAGAGAATCACAGAATGGTTTGGGTTGGATGGGACCTTAAAGATCATCTTGTCCAACCCCCTGCCATGGGCAGGGACACCTTCCACTACCCCAACTTGCTCCAAGCCCCATCACTTGATCTCATTCAACCATGGGCACAAAAACAGATCCTTTCTATCAGAATAAGATGATGTTGGATGCACAATAATTATTAAAAAAATTAAAAATTTTTAAAAATAAAAAAAATTATCTCCTGTGTTCAGGAACATTACTTGTTCTGTTGTGGATTTTCCACAGTCTACCATTAATTATTTTAGTACTATGGATAATCGATTCCATGCTATTAGAACATTATCATTTATAGCCAGTTGTTGCACTCTGGGATGGATTTCACCCTAGAGGACACATCTGGTCAGCTGTCCAGCCTCTCCTGCCACTGACCAGAGAGGGTCACTCTCCAGGCTCCAGAGAACACCTGAAATACTCCCACTCCTACACTGGACTCTGCCTGGGAGGAGGAGTTTGCATTCAGGGGGAGAAGTGGGATTTGAAACCCACTGCCCAAAAATAGTCAGGAGCAGAGGTGACCATATCCCCAAATCTCTGCTGTAGGCTGCAATTCCCATAAACTGGAAACTACCTTTCAAAATTCCCCTTAATGAGGCTTTTGAAGTCTCATTTTGGCTAGTAGGCGAAGACTTAAAATTAATTTCACAGATTCAAGGGAAAGGGTTTTTTTCTTTTTTGTATTAATTGTTGCCACAAGAATCATCATTTAGTGTAGTAAAAAGTTGTGTCTTTCAATATATGCACCTATAGAACTCCATTGATTTGTCTATACACAAACACATTCCTACAAACATATATTTGATTAAGAATTTATATAACTTCAGGCTTCAAGGAGTTTTGGATCAATGCCTTTATTTTGCCTTTATAAACAAATAAACTCAATTAAAGAGTACTTACAACAAACCACAACAGGCAGGAAACTAATTTTCCCAAGGCTTGCCATGGCAATTTTTACCTGTTACATGGATCTAGGGAATCAATTACTCCCTAAAGGGAAATTATTAGGGCTTGTGTTACTCAACATCTCACCTTTCCCACTCACCAGTGGGAGAGAAGTATAGGGACAGGCATCCAGAAAAACGAGTATTCTTCAGACCTCTTACCATTTTCTGTAATAAATTAAGGTATAAATAAAAGAGAACAAAGCCCTGAAGGCAAGCAGTGTTTGAATCAAGGCTGGATCTGCACCAAGTCCCTGTGCAGCTTCACAAGGCACATAAATCAGCTCTCCTGAACATATGTAGTATTTTGCATTACTCTATAGGGTGTTAACTTTAATGCCTTAATATATTCACATAGTGGTCAGGTTACAGTTCCTGTGGGAACCATAAATTTGTATGCCCTGGCCAATCTGCTGCTGGAAAAATAATAATAATAAGTTAAAACTAACCACAGCACCACATTGCCTTCAGCAGGTTTTTTACCTTTAATTTTTTCTCCTTTCTGTACTTGAGGGAGGAAGAAGAGAAGATGTGTGAAGCCACAAATGGACAGGGAAGCTGAAGCAGATATGAATTAATTTTCATTCTTTTTTGCATGAAGGCTTGTGTGTCCCCAGCCCAAGCAAATGTCACTGCATGGAAAAGATTTCCTCTTGGGCGTGATCAAGCCTTTTTCTGACTCAGAACCCTCTCACCCAGGACATGCTACAATCTCCTTTTTCGTAATCCATCAAAACCACTTCACCTGCAAGCAACAGCTACAAGGAGAAACAACCTGAGCTGATCCAGTTTAACCCAATTTCTGCTGATTCTGCCTGACCTACACCAAACTGATCCCGCTACAATCTCCCAGTGGTTGGATTCCTACCTGGTTCAAGGCAAAGGGCATTGTCTCTGTCCCATTCTTCCTCCAGCCTCCTTTTGCTCCAACCCCACCATTACTCACTTAAAGATATGAGTATTTTTTGTCTGGCATCCTACAATTTTTCCCATATTAAAACTCTGTTTACTTCCATAAAAGTTGTTTTTGGAGTCATCAAGCAATTTCAACACACCAAAAAAGCTGGTTTTATCCAGGCTTGCTCCCAATGCTGCAAGTTCACTGTAATTAACAATTTTTATTCTGTTTGCACTGGTTAATGGCCAGCAGTGTCCCACATCTGTGGAGCAGCCATGGCCATGGTAGTCCAGGCAAGAACAAAGCTCCTCCCTTCCCTGCAACCCACTCCACCAACAACAATCAAACACAATTGGTTAAAAGCCCAAGAAATTATGCAATACAGATGGCGTGAAAAAAAATCACAGTTAATCTGCACAAAATGACCCAATAAATATTTAATGTATGTAGGATTGGACCACAGTTAAAGGATGTGTTATTTATGCCCCTGCTCAACAGATTACCAGCTGGTGGACAAAACCAGACTGTTGATTTTTATAAACCCAGAGCTGAACAGTAACATCTGTGCACAATCTCTCCAAAGGTAGCAGTGGAAACCCTCACTGGATAAAGGAATTCATCAGCCCTTTGATTCCTTAATTTCATTTCACTGACACCTACGCCAACTAAGCAACAAGGTCTAGAGCAGAATTGTAATTACTTGAAACTTAGTTAATATTAAAGCTTTGGTCCATTAATCTGTACTAATGATGGGGTTTTCAGTGGTACCATTCCACTCTTTTTTACAGAGAACCATCAATTCAAAGTTACAAAGTACAGCTATTACTTATATACGTTAAGGAAGTTGTAGAAAACCAGGTGGCACAAAGTAGGGAGAGAAAAGTCATTAGGGAAGGAGAAAACCTGCTGACTGTCCCTTAAATGATAAAAAGAATCAAAAATATCAGAAATAATCACTGAAATTAGACATAGAGTTGTGGGTTTTGGTGGCACAGTATCAGCTGCAAATGCCTACAAGTTTTTTGGTATGTAGGATTTGAGAGGACAACCTAATCTCTGTTGGACCCTTCCTTCAGCCAAAAGATCCCCTGGCATTAAAACTCTCTTGGAAATCTGTGGAGATTTCTTAAACACACACATCCAGATATTAAATCTATAGTAATAGTCTATTTATAAAAGACTACACATTTTCCTGTATATATACATATACACTCACACAATGTTATCTTTACAGTCTTAATAATTTGCAAATGTTCACTGGCACACATGCACCAAATTATATTTTATATATATATATATTCACATACATGTGCATATGAAATTGAATATGTGCATCGTATATGGAGGAATCAGAGTATATATGAATACGTATACACAAATGAGAATAAATATATACACTCTGATTCTATATAGTATTTATTCATTGAAAAATTTCCTAATATGGCCTAAAAAAAGGAAGAAAAACACTTAATTTGCATATGTATTTAATAGTTAAACATAGTGCAGTGTAGCCAAAGAAAGCAGAATACCTAATCCTTCTTAAAACTGGAGATGGATTGGATAAAACCTCTTCTTAATTTCTTCTATGAAATTGTCCTTGGAATGTGATTTCACCACACCTATGAGCCAAGCTTCCAGGAAAAGGGGGTGTAGGACTGCTTTTTGATAGATTTCATAGCAGACAAAACTCCCCTCAAGAATGGAAAAACAGCCCCACGAGGACAGAAAAGCAGAGACTAATTAAACAGGTCTTACATAAGTTTTTTTTCCTGAGTCCTGCTATCTTCCACCTCCAAAGACATCACACATTTCTATTGGAAAATCACCTCACTGGCATCAATGTAGGAAGTGGAGGAGCTCCAAGCTCTTCAGCATCATTAGTGAGGTTAGAAAACAGCTTTTTTTTAGCACACTCACTCGTGAACTTACCTGTTTGGTGCTTCTCTGCCCAGTAGGAAGCAAAGATTTGGATTTCTCTGCTATTTTCTGTTAAAAGGAAAAGAAAAAAAATCAGAGGGAAAATGGCTGAGAAGAGTCCAAATATTTAGGGAAGGAGTCATATGAAGCTATTTTCTTCTACTTTCTAAAGAAAAAGACACAGAGAAAGCTCTTACTCTTTAGAAAAAAACAAGGGAGTATAAAAGCATTGAAAACTTCAGTCTTGCAGGCATTAAAAGTCTTCAAAGCTTTCAGAATGACAAGGTTATCAAAACTGAAACAGGCATTTAGGGAATGACAGCCAGGACGTGGATAAGTAGCAATTTATCACTCAGATTGTTTTCCTGATGCAGCCGGGCGTTCACAAACTGCAGTGGTTAATTCTGGCACTTCTGAATTGATGACAGTTTTTAAAATAAAAGAAATCCAATCCTATACAGTTCAGATGGACTGTACTCATGAACATTAGGGGAAAAAAAAAAAAGCATAAAATAGATGTGTGTGTGTGTGTATATGGGGTGGAGCTCTTTACCCAAATAATTCTAACTTCTCATTTAACACAAACAGTAATTTAATTTAAAGACCCCACACTCAGTTTCTTGAATAGGACAGGTAAATAATTTAAAATATGAGGTAGCACTAGAGATGATGCAATTCTATTACACAACAGACATGCTGTTGAACTGCAATTTTATGTACATCTATTTATTTATTTAATTTTTAAGGCACAGGCAGCAAGTGCTGGAAAATCAATCAGTCCAGAATGTTTCTAATAGAGACACATTATTAAGTGCATGTTGCCAGCCAAATTTCATTACACCTGTGTAATTACAATATATCCTTCCCATTGTTGCAGGCATGCGTCAGACTCATTAATGTGATATACCAAAGCCACCAAAGTTTGTCCAAGCTGTATTTTGATTAATCCAGATATATCTCCTAGCTTGCACTGCCAGGGAGGGAGGCAGTTTGGGGATGCTAAATTTAAGTCATTACTACAGTTTAAAAAACAAAACAAATCTGCTCATTAGCAAAGCCTCCCCTGGGTAAAGAGGGTGAGCAAGAAGCAGAGGAAGGAAATGGAGTTCAGGATTTGTTTGTTTTATTAAACAGCTTGATCTTGGTGACAGATCCCTGTTGGAAGAATGTTTCATAACATTCCAACATCCCAGCCACAAGATGTTTGAAAATTTCTGGCACAGCCAAACAGCAAAGCAGAGCTAGAAGGTGGGGTAGACTTTGAATTATCCATGCTGCCTGCACATTTTCTGCAAGCAGAAAAGGTGAACTGTGCAATCCTCTCTCCCCTGAGAGTGGAGGCACACCAAAATAATGGCATGGAAATACTTCCCCCTGAACTCAGCACTGGGGAGGCCACACCTCAAATCCTGGGGTCAGTTTTGGGCCACTCACAATGAGAAGGGCATTGAGGGGCTGGAGTGTGACCAGAACGGAGCTGGGGAAGGGGCTGGAGCACTGATCTGATGAGGAGCAGCTGAGGGAGCTGGGGGGGCTCAGCCTGGAGAAAAGGAGGCTCAAGGGAGACCTCACTCTCTACAACTCCCTGACAGGAGGGTGTAACCAGGTGAGGATCAATGTCCATTCCCAGAGAACAAGGGGCAGAACAAGAGGAAATGGCCTCAAGCTGCCCCAGGGGAGGTTTAGATTGGATATTTGGGAACATTTCTGCAGAAAAAAGCTTGCCAAGCACTGGAACGGGCTGCCCAGGGAAGTGGTGGGGACACCATCCCTGCCATGTGGACATGACCCTTAAGGACATGGCTCAGGTGCTGCTGGGTTGATGGTTGGATTGGATGATCTTAAAAGTTTTTTTCCCAACCTTAATTCTAAGACACTATGATTGCTTGACTGATAATGAAAGAAAAGAGGGAGGAAACCATTCATTGGCAGCCCTGTGGAGATGCTCCAGGCTCCAGGGAATTACACCTAACACATTCCCAGATTCCTAGATGGGACAGTAGAAGCAGGAGGGACACTCACTTTCTGCACAGCTCCGTATCTCTGGATGGCATCTGACAGCTGGTTCTTCAGCCTGTCCAGCTGAAGCCTTTCTTGCTGTATTGGGAAAAAAAAAAGAAGGCTGGTTAGAAGGCTGAAGGATCTCTCTGTGACCATAGGAAATTGTCCTAGTGGGAGACACCAAATAAATAAAGTGGGTACCAATGGTACCCTAAAAGAATCAGTCACACTGGGGCTGCCAGGATGCAATTGGATTTTCTTTTAGGAAATGTGATGCTTTGGTCTTTCAGGCCAGGTTAAATAAATAAAATGCCACTTTGGATATTCAAGATAGCATTGGAGAAAATAACTGGAGCGATCTTTCTATAAAAAAGTTATTTTTCCACAGGATAAATCATGATGGAGTTGATCACCTCATTTGGGAAATTTACTGGACTTGAAAAGTCAAACAGCCACAACATCCCCTCTCCTTGGTCTGACTGTCAGAAACCAGCTTATCTTAATGTTTTCCAAAACATGAACCCACATGTCACTGTCTTTATGGCTGGAGCTTTCTCCAGCAAGGTTTCAATTTATGTTTAAAATCCCCCTGTTCTTGGAAGGAAGAAAAATGCCTGATGCAAGTATCCACCATGCTTCCAAATCTCTGCTCTCAGGGGAAATGACCAAACCCAAACTGTTCTCCTGGAACTGTTCTACACCCTGGATTTGAGATTACACATATGCAGGAGCCCAAATGTCCAGATTTTACAGAGGGAAATGCTGCAAGGAATTGGGATGTCACCTTAAAAAGCAAATGAAAAGCAAAACACAATCTACACTAAAGCTACTGAGCAGAAATGTTCACTTTCCAGCCATTTCAGCTGTTTCAGAAAACTGCTTGGGGTTACAAAAGTAGATTTTATAAAGGTTGGGATAAACACTTTTAATTTTAATGGCAGTATTTTCACACACAGAATAATATCCTAGTTCTTCCTCTAAAGATTTAAAATCATTTTTAGAGCAGGGGAAGTATCATTATTCCCATTCTACAGATAAAGGTCCATAAACCTTATGTTTGTTCCACATGCAAAATAAGATAAGATTGTCACCCTGGAGAGCAGATCTTGTGCTCCAGCACTCACCCTACCAAAAAATGGAATTCCAGATCTACCTCTCTATTTACATCCTTTGAGGTTAGTTTGGAACGAAGCCCTAAAAGAGCCATTTTCCATCAGTCTCCTGCCTTGTAGCACACTGATCTACTTAGAGCAGCATCTTTGCTGCTGCAATACTATCAATTTGCTCAGCTGGGCATCCTGACTCCAATATCTCCAGCAGGAGATTTATGGGGAGTCAGAGAAAGTCCCATATTGCTTCTTGTTGGCAGTGCATTACTGGTGGAAAATAAGGAAGAAAGGGGGAAAAAATAATTTATTTTTTTTTTTCTGTGTGTGCATGCAAAGCAGTCCACAGAAAAATTGATTGGTGAGGACTAACTATAAAGCTCTGTAAGGATTTTCATGCTGTGAGTAATTTTATGGGAGGAGAGTTTTCAGTGCTTCCCAGATTCCCATGAGGGACTTACTGACCAGCAGCCAATATCCACCAGAACAATTTCTTCTATGTAAGGGACAGTGGCTACAGGCTTTCTATCAAAATTTGTAAGGTTAATTACTAAAACTCTACTGTTAGAAAGAAGAATTTTTTAAAAAAAGAGTTAAATTAATTGACCAGTGAGCAGAAAAAATTATTATACAATATAAAAGAGACCAGCAAGTTTATTCCTCATAATACTGAAATTGTTTCTGTGCCTATTTCCTTTAGCTCTTAAATATTTTTACTTCAACTTTGCATTTTTCTCCCCATGACAGTGAAATCTTGTCTCCTAAGAGTCCACATAGGCTTCAAGGGCAAATAATGACATTCATGTGTTGCACTCACTGTAATTGGGTTTAATGTGACCTTGCCTGATTCCCCTTTGGACTCAATTTATGTCACAAAATGCAGCCTGGAGATCAGCACAAAAAAAAAAAAAAAAAAAAAAAAAAAAAAAAAAAAAAAAAAAANCCAGATCCCCATATCTCCAAGGCAGCATCTTCTGTTTCATCAAGCTCAGATGTAATTATGCAAGGAAACAAGAAAGAAAAAAAAAAAACCAAAACCAAAAAAAGAACCACGAACAAAACAAAACAGTCCTTGCCATCCATCACTAGTCAAAGCAATATGTTAAAAATTATTCTTGTCTTAATCTTGATTTCTACATGTAGAAACAATCATTCCAGGCTTCCCTCCGTATCCTCTGGAGCAGACCATCACCCACTGATTTTTTTTAGGCAGGCTAAATTGTACATGGTCTTTCACAGGTTACCAAGGTGGCCTCGGGTGATCCAAGTTTTAAATCCTTATCTCAACTGCCTGTTGGCAAGTGCCATAAATCCAGGCTGTAAAAACCACTTGGTCAGAGATGAGTTGTGTGTTTAAAGCAGTCTTATTTCTAGGTGGAAGGGCAGTGAGAACAGAATTGAAAGTAATACAGGACTTTGGAAAATGGCAGGTAGTGAGTGAGAATAAAACATGAACTCAGGAAAGTTCCTGACATAGAAACCATATGGATGCTGGAAGCAAGAGTGCAACAGAAATCAAGTAAATCTGTTCTTAATTCCATTTCAGGTGCTGAATGTTATGTAGGTGAAAATTCTCCTTTAACTCTCTCACTAGCCAGAATCAGGTCCCCACAGTTTGCGTGTGTTCTAGCCCATGATGCACATCATGGGCCAAGTCAGCAGTAACATCTGGGGTATAAAATCTTTGTTGGAAGGTCCAAAACCTTCTGTTTGTCCAGTCTTTGCACTGGGGACAACTCACTCCTACCCTGTGAGTCTGCACAAAAAACAGATGGGATTTTCTGGGATAAACTGGAATTCAGAGTGGCATAAATTCTAATTTAAAATCCTGCTCTGATCTGCCCAGAACCTCTATTTATCTACCCCCCCAAAGCTGCCTTTGCACTAGGACACAGCCCTGAATCAGTGTCATATCCATGACATTCCATGTCATATCCACATATTCCATGGCTTTGACCTTTCCAGAAATTTAACACACTCCCAAACTCACCTGCACCCCACAACTGAGTCTTTAACCAATGCCAAACTTATATGAAGCCAGATGATTTCTGCAATATTTTCACCCAAACTAAGACCCTAAGAGAGATGTGAACTGGCCAAAGGTTTTGTTGCTGAGTTCTTGATTTCCAATTCTACACAAACCAGTTTTGGGAGGAGAACTGGTGTCTGCAGCTGTTTTCCCCTGGGTCATTTATAAGGGAAAACTACACTTGTTTGACAGGAAAGGAAGTCATAACAAGACAAAGGGCTTAACAGCTTTAAAGCACCCACTGCCACTTCTTATTTTCATTATTCCCCCTTCCACAAAACCCATCATTCTCCCCCAACAGCATGTTGAGTGACACATACCCTGGATGAGCCTCTGACAACCTCAGACAGCTGCTTGATGGCTTTGGTGCTCGTCGTGATGGTTTTATTAGTCTCCTGCTGGGTGGCATGCCTGCAGAAGAGAAGAGATGATGGGAATTGCAATTGAAATTAATTGCATAATGAGACACTTGGAGAAATCTATCAAGCTGCAGAGCAATTGAGACAACACAACAACAGCAGCACAAGGAGGCTCAGGAGGGCTACAGGAGTCCTGGGTCTTGACCAGCAATGGAAGCCAGAAGGAAATACTGGGAAGGAGCTGCCCAAAATATTCTTCCTGCTTTCAGCACAAAGACAAGGCCTGTGAACCATTCAAATGGAAGTGATAAGGTGAAAACAGAGGGGGGACAGGGAACAAGGCCACCACAGCTGATTGGTACTGCAAATTTTCAAAGAAGGGTTTTATAGCAAAAGGAGACAAGGACTGGGGAGTTGCCTGATGGCTTGCCCAGAAAAAATATTTTTCTCAGGAGAGAAGTCTGAAATTGAGCAGGACAAATTTACTTACCCTGGTCATCTACTTAATGACACAGTATCTCCAGGAAAGCGCTGGGGATGTGAAAGGGCAAAGTTGCTTCACCAGCCCTGAAACAAGCAGGAATGGAGCCAAACCAGTCACCCCTCCAGTCACAGGTGTCCCTCCCTTTTACACCCCAAATTCCAGTACCATTATTCCTCGTAAGCACTGTTTGCTAGCCTTGTTCTTTGGGACTATACAAACAAAGGGGAAGAGAAATGAATGCTTCTCAAAGGTATTTCTTAACTCAGTCCAGTAGTTCTCAAGCTTTCTAAGGTCAACAGAGCACTCTCAGCTTCTCAGCTTCTCCGGAGAGCACTTCATATCCTTTCAGTCAGAAAGAAGTGGATTGCCATGAGGTTTTGTTCAAAACCTCAAAAAATACTTGGAAAAGACCTGGAGAAAATAATGTTTTTCTCCCTTAGAGGACATACATGAGCATGAGCCACAGTTGTATAAAAAAGAGTAATTTGACAGTACTTTTTTTTTAGAGTGGTGAGAATTGAAGTGAATGGAGGTTCTTTGATCAAAAATGTCAAAATGTCTATTCATGGTCCCTTGGTCCTGAAGACCCATGGATTGTCTCTCCAGCTCCTTCGTCTTCTCTGTCAGTTCTGATGGCGAGCAGCTCTTTTGAGAGCTAGGTCAACTCTTCCAGCAGCTCCTTTGAAGATCAAGGCCAGTCCCCAGACAGCTTTTATCAAACACAACCTTAACTACAAAAACACCAAGACCTCACTTGTTCAGGTCGTAATTGAAAGTCCAGGAGTTTTTTCCCCACTTAAATGTTTTTGTGCAAACAAAAGCAGCAAAAAGCTAGGAAAACTGTCCAGGATCATGGAATCATAGGATAGCCTGGGATGTAAAGGACCTCCAACATCATCCGTTTCCAACCACCTTCCATGGGCAGGAAAACCTTTCAGTGGACCAAGTTGCTCCAGGCTCCATCCAACCTGGCCTTGGACACTTCCAAGGATGTGGGGCAGTCACAGCTTCTCTGGGAATCCTGTGCCAGGGCCTCACCACCCTCCCAGTAAATAAAATTACACCTGAGCTCATACAAAGTACCTGCAAGCGAAAGCTTAGTACACCATGAAAACAACATTTCTCAGTTGCAGAACAGGAATTCAGATGTGTGTCAAGGGTGGAACACTCACACAGAAGGCATGGACTCTTCTGGCACCATGCAAGAAGGAGAAGTAACCCCACATAAAGACAAAACCAGATCCAATAATGAGATATTACCTCTGTTTATTTAAATTAAGGTACAATTTCTGTATTCATTCCTCAAAATGCACTTCATTTACTGATGATCCCAGGACTCGCCACACCAGCTGAGCAATTACATCACTTTTAATTTGAGATTGAAGAGGTCATATCTATCACAGACAGGTGTTCCTCACTGCCATTGCGAGAGAGGGAGCTGGGAATTGAATCCTGTCACATTGCTAACATTGAGGAGTGCACAGTCAGCCTGATCCCCAATCTCTTAATCAAGTATATCTTGCCACCAAATGCATGAATTCTAGAAGCAGCAGATTCAAATCTCAGATTTCCATACCTAATTCCTCTTAACAGAAAGAAAGATGCTGGAGTTGACATCCATTTTGCAGACCTCATTAAATTATCTGCCCACAGAATAACTCAGGGATTTACATACCACTAATTCCCCATCTCCAAAGTAAAATGGCTTGATAGGCTCTTGCATCTGATCCTTCCCAATCTCTAAAGTTAAATAAAGCCTTCATCATTTGCTTTGTAATGTAAGTTTTATGTTAGCTATCTTACATAATAAATTTGTGCTGGGCACAAACTTTGCTGGAAAAATAAGTGGGAGCAGGAGTACAAAAAAATAAAAGTTCTGTCTTTGACCTCTTAATTCAAAATGAACTTTAACCAACATGCTGCTCCTTGATTTTGTCACTTCCAACTATGTTGTCAGAACAATTAACTTCTTATTCTTCAGTTTCAGAGATGCACTCAGGAATCAGACAGTGGTCATATTTAATTTATATTAAATGCTATTAGGATCCTAATTTTAAGAAAAGACATCTTAAAACACTGCTTCCTGCAGTATTTTATTTTTATTTGTAATGGTAACAAGATATGTTGTTGTTTTTGTTTTTATTTTTATTTGTAGTATTAACAGTATTGCTATTATTATTATCTGTCTTTATATTCTGCTCCCCATGGAAGCGTGGAAGTTAATTAAAGGGGTGTCTCTGATGAATAAAATTTCCTTCTCAAAAGAGTCCTCCACACAACAGCAAGTTAATACTCCATCTGTGGATGTGCCAAGTACCTAAAACACAAATGTAGTAGAAGATTTACCTGTCTACAGCTCTGCTCTGAAAACAAACCCTGGAAGGGTAAACACCAGAGAGGGCATCTCTTAGGAGGAGTAACATCTCTTGCTGAGCATTTCTGCGTGCACAAACACTGCAAAGACAAAGCACTAAATAATCCAGGGGATGCCAAAGTGCTGCCTACGAGTTCCCCGAGTTCCCCGTGGCTGCTGTTTCCTCTGCTGGAGGAGCATGGTCCAGCGAATCCCTGATCCCCAGCTGCTCACAGTTTGTTCTTTGAACGATCATCTCTCTAATTTATTTACCCAGTTTTAAAAGGAGCTCTGCAAAGAGGCAGATGCGGCGGCGGCTGCTCCCCTCGTCCGCAGGGACACCAGGAAGGAGCTGAACTTCTGCCTCTGCTGCTTCTCTGAGACACTTGATGAATGGCCAAGTCAGTGGAAAAATAATCAGACCCCAAGCGCAGCAACAAACACCAGCAAGGGAAGGAGTTCTCTCTGTCTCACCATGCCTGCCAATACTTACAACAATCCCAAAGAGCTTCATTTTCCAGCTCCAGCAGGAAATGGCATTTCCACTTCTAAAACAAGATACAGCTTATTTTATTTTCATCTGCTCCCTAATGGAAAAGCAATAATGTGTTTTTTGGGTACAGATCAAAGATACCTTTGCTGTAGTGGTTTGAACATCATTAGATTCAGAATCCCCTTTTTTAGCAAAGGACAACTGCACAGCAATGTAGCTTCTTTTTGCACTTAAGAGTGGTCAAGTAGGATTGGCAAGAATTAAGCCAGTTAGGTCAGTGTAACTCAAAACTTGTCTTTTTCACAGCTGCTTTAATATTTACTGCAGGTTTCTTATCCAAAAAGAGGTAAAAATCAGAGTACTTTGAGCAGAGCACCGAGCTGCAGGATCTGTGGCTGAAGCAGAAGTAGGTTGAGCAGCTGCATTTGCATCTGTTCCATTGCTGCTGCAGACACAGATGCAAAAGGGAGCATCAAATATGCAGAGGGAGATTGGCACCACAGGAGATCCCCTTCCTGTCGTACAGATGGATTCTGTGAAGGACTGGTGGTTTTGGGAATTGATAGGATACTGAAAACTACAAATACACATAAATAAAACTTCATGCATTGCCCACAGGGACAGCATGGGATCCTAAGGATCCTATTCCCTTTTCTCCACCTAATAAAGGTGGTTAACCACAGAAAAAATCCAATGGAGATTCTTTGTGGCCTGTGGAAGGGGGCACCTGTAGTGTGAAGTTCTGCTCTAGAATGTGGTCAAAAACCTCAAATAATGCCCTATTTTTCAAGGTGTTAGTGGTGGGCTGAGAAGGGCACCATGTGCTGGGATCTGGTGTTGAATTGTATTAAAACCCATCTGCCACAGCAGCCTCAAACCAACAGTTGGGAGTGAGGCAAAGATTTGGCACATGACTGGTAGCCAGCCCCTGTAAACTATAAAAGTCCAGTCCCATTTTCATAGGGTGGGTTCGTCTAACATATTCCTCTTTGGAGTGTGTGTGGACATTCATCCCTTGGGTAAAGAATGTGCCCCGAGGGCGTCCCTGAATCCTGGATGAAAAAGATTTGCCTTCAGTCATTGGCCTGGGTAAGTTACATCAATCTCTAATAATTTTTTGCTTTGGTAGCTTTAATATGATTTCTTTAATATTGCTTTGATTTAGTGCACTATCCTATCTGATACTGTAATAGTAGTTTTAGCTTTTATGATGTGTAGCAAATAAATCTGATTGAGTTATTTTGTCTAATCATTTATCATAAGAAATAATCCATTTTCATAGACATAGATCTGATTTGCTATCATTAAAATCTGAGGGACAAAGTTGTAAAACTTAGGCTGTTGACAAAGTCCAGGGTCCAGCTGCCCCCAGGCTCCTCTCTGAGGAGTTTAGAGAGCAAAGGGATCCTCTCTGCACCTCAGGACTCAATGGGAGCTTCTCTAACAAACTTTGTCTGAAGCTCCCCCTCCAACCTTCAACACAACCCCAAAAATGACGCAGAGAATCCTCACTGGAGAGGTGATCCAGCCTCGTGGCGTATCCTACACAGCCAGGATGATCCTACAGCAGAACCAGTAAATATCCTGAGTTGGGAGGGACCCATGAGGATCATCCCAGTCCAACTCCTGGCCCTGCACAGGACAATCCCAACAATCCCACCCTGACCCTGAGTGGATTGTTCAAATGCTCCTCGAGCTCTGGAAGTCTTGGGGCTGTGACCA